GCACTTCAAGGCAACAGAGACAAGACCAGCAAGCATGGCAGAGCAAAGAGAGGGGAGGAGGCGGTGTATGTGGAGGAGGGATCGGGAGGACGAGGATGAGAGCAGACTGCTGGGCTCTGAGCGGAGCCGAGACCACCGGTCTCGCGACGACTTGCGATTGATTGCGGCGAAAAGCAGGCGGCGGCGCTGGTCTTCGCCGCTCCCCCCCTCCGTCTCGAAGGGGCGCCGAGCTAACGCCTCAGCCGCACCGATCATGGTCAGGCTTACTCCGTGCCCAGGGTCTCTGTATACGTCGCTCTGGTTTGGCCGAGGAAGGCTACATGGCATATGACATGTGGCATAGCATGTGGTGTAGACGTGCACATGCGTGTACATGGATGTGCGTGTATACACATATATACATGTATATGTATACATAAACAGTCACGCATGTAGACATGCACATGAAAGTATATGCATGCCTGTATGTATACATGTGAAGCATTAGACAGCGTACAAAATGTATGTGCACTTAAGTATTTTGTGTGTGTAAATATCTACATCCGTTGTATATGTCTACATGTATGTAGGCCGATATATGTGTATGTGAACCTGTGTCTACATATACACCTATGCATAACTATAGGCATGCATATATGTATATGTATATGTTCTACATAAATGGAATATATACATACGTATCGAAGACGCCTACGGCGAATTACCGCCACCGCCCCCCTGCCGTCTAGACTCGCCCATGTGGCCGAGCGTTGTGGCAAGAGCTCTGCCAAGCTATCGGACCATGTGTTCCCCCAGCCGTTGTGGAAACCCTTCGGAAACACTTGGGAGAAGATGGCGGGGAAGATCAGGAGGCGGAGGAGGAGGTGGAGAAGGAGGAGGAGGTGGAGGAGGAGGAGGAGGTGGAGCAGGAGGTGGAGGAACAAGACGAGGAGGAGGCATCTTGGGAGCTTCTGGGGACACTCTTGGGGCCTCCATGGAGCTTCCTTGAAACTCTTGCAGGCATCTTGGGGGCCCCTCTTGGAGGCCTCTTGGGGGCCTTCTGGGACTTCTCGGGGGCCTCTTTGGCCGTCCTGGTGGGCTCCTGGCCCGTCTGACGCTGTCGGAAGCAGTCTTGGGGGCCCTTCTGGGCCGACTTGGGGCCCTCTTGGGGTGCTCCAGGGCCGTCTTAGAGGCCATCTTCGGCGTCTTTGAGGCCTCTTGTGCAGTCTTGGGGCCCTCTTGGGGCCGTCTTGGGAGCCTCTTGGACCGTTCTGGGGCAATGCTGGAAGCCTCTTGGGCGATCTTGGGCCGATCTTTGGGGGGCTCTTGGGCCGTCTCGGGCCGTCGGAAGGCAGAACAGAAGCAAATGCCACAATCCTTTAAACACCGCTTGGAAATCAATGATTTTTGCCTCTTCGGGCTTTCCTGGAGGCCCTCTTGGAGGCCTCCTGGGTCGTCTTGGGCCATCTTAAGGATATCTTCGGCCGTCCTGGTAACTCCCTGCCCGTCTGACGCCGTCGGAAGCTTTTTGGAGAAAAACTCTGGGCCGACTTGGGGCCCTCTTGGAATGCTCCAGGGTCGTCTTAGAAGCTTTCCTGGGCATTCCAGAGGCCTCCTGGGCCGTCTTTGGGCCCTCTTGGGGCCGTCTTGGAGGCCTCTTGAGCAATCTTGAGGCCATCTTGGGGGCTCTGGGGCGATCTTGGGCCGATCTTTGGGGGACTCTTGGGCCGTCTCGGGCCGTCGGAAGGCAGAACATAAGCAAATGCCACAATCCTTCAAACACCGCTTGGAAATCAATGATTTTGGCATCTTCGGGCTTTCCTGGAGGCCCTCTGGGAGGCCTCTTGGGCTGTCTTGGGCCATCTTAAGGCCCTCTTCGGCGTTTTGTTGACTCTTGGCCCGTCTGACGCTGGCGGAAGCTGTTTTGAAAGTCACTCTGGGCCGACTTGGGTCCTTCTTAAAATTTTCCAGGGCCGTCTTGGAAGCTTTCTTGGGCGTCTTAGAGGCCTCTTGGGCCGTCTTGGGGCCGTCTTGGGGGCCTCTTTGGCAGTCCTCAGGCCATCTTGGAGGCCTCTTGGGCGCTCTGGGGGCGATCTTTAGAGCCTCTTGGGCCGTCGAAGGCCGAAAAGGAGCAAATACTGAAAATCCTTCAAATAACCAAAGAAAATCAATGAGTTTGGTCTCTTCGGGCCCTCCTGGAGGACCTCTCGGAGGCCTCTTGGGCCGTCTTGGAGGCCTCTTTGGCGCCTCTTGGGCAGTCTTGGGCCGCCTTGGAGGCTTCTCGGGCGGACTTGGAAATATCTTGGATCTTCTTGGGCCGTCTTGGAGGCCATCTTGGACCATCGTGGGCGAACTTGGAAGTCATCTTGGCCCATCTGGATCCTCTTGGAGACCATCTTGAGCCGCCTTGGAGGATGTTGTCCAGACGTTGAAGTCGTTTGCGCGCCTTTCCGGGTGGCCGGCGGGACGGGGCGGAACCCTAGGGGAGAGTTCTTTTCTGGAAAGATCCAAAACCAGAACCGAAAGGGTCCAGCACGCCGGGCACCCTTGTGGCAGGCCAACAGGGGGCGGCGGATCGAAGACGTCTACGGCGAGTCACCGCCGCCGCCTGCCCGTTCGGAAGCGCCTATGTGGCCGAACGTTGATGCCAGAGCCTTGCCAAGCTATCGGATCATGTGTTCCCCGAATCGGTTTGGAAAGCCTTCGGGGAACACGTGGGCGTCTTGAAGGTCACCTTGGCCGTCTGGAGGCCATTCGGGCCTTCTTGGAGGACGTCTTGGAGGGCTCTTGGGCCGTCTTGGAGGCCTCTTGCGGGCCTTTCGGGCAATCTAAGGCCATTTGGGGCCGTCTTGGGTGCATCTTGGGGCCATCTTGGCCGTCTTGGAGGCCATCTTTGGCGTCTTCGGGGCCATCTTGGGTGTCTTGGGCTCTTCTTGGGGCCATCTTGGAGGCCTCTTGGGCGCTCTTGGGACGATGGTCGGGGCCTCTTGGGCCGTCGGAGAGCTGATAAGAAGAAAATGCCCAAATCCTTTAAACACCTCAGGAAAATATATTATCTGTGCCCTTTCGGGCCTTCCTGGAGGACGTCTTGGAGGCCTCTTGGGGACTTCGTGTTCTTCGTGTTCCCAGAACACAATTCCCAGGCCATATTTTGAATGCCCGGAGTCAACTGTAGGCCACTTCGTGTTCTTCGTTTCCCAGAACACCATTCCCAGGCCACCTTTTTCCATGCCCGGAGCCAACTGTAGGCCACTTCGTGTTTTCCGTGTTCCCAGAACACCATTCCCAGGCCACATTTTGAATGCCCAGAGCCACTTGTGGGCCACTTCGTGTTCTTCGTGTTCCCGGAACACCATTCCTGTACCATATTTTGATTGCCCAGAGCCAACTGTGGGCCACATCGTAATCTTCGTGTTCCCAGAACACAAGTCCTGTGCCATATTTTGAATGCCTTGGCCAGTCTGAGGCCATCTTGGAGCCATCTTGGGCCGTCTTGGAGGCTTCTTGGACGAACTTGAAGGCATCTTGGACTGTCTCGGGCCGTCTTGGAAGCCATCTTGGCCCATCTTTGGCGACTTGGAAGCCATCTTGGAGGCCATCTTGGGCCAGCGTGACCATCTTATTGTCCATCTTGAGCCGTCTTGGAGAATTTGTTCCGGTCGATGAGGTAGTTTCGGGGCCTTTCCGGGACCCTGGCGGGATCGGCCGAAGCCCCAGGGGGAGTTCTTTTGGAAAAAGACCCGGAACCAAGACCGAAAGTGTTCAGCACGCCAGGCACCCCTGCGATGAATCAGCAGGGGGCGGCGGACCGAAGACGCCTACGGCGAATCACCGCCGCCCCCTGCCCTTTCGGAAGCGCCTATGTGGCCGAACGTTAATGCCAGACCTGCCAAGCTATCGGACCATGTGTTCCCCGAATCGGTTTGGAAAGCCTTCGGGGAGTACGTGGGCATCTTGAAGGTCATCTTGGCCGTCGGGAGGCCATTTTGACCCTTGCGGACCTTCTTGGAGGACGTCTTGGAGGGCTCTTGGGCCGTCTTGGAGGCCATCTTGAGCGTCTTGGAGGCATCTTGGGCCGTCTTTGGGGCCTCTTGGGGCCGTCTTGGGCCTCTTGGGCGATCTTTGGGGGCACTTGGGCCGTCTCGGGCCGTCTGAAGGCCGAAAAAGCAAATGTCACAATCCTTCACAAATTCATTGGAAATCAATGATTTTGGCCTTTTCGGGCCTTCCTGGAGGCCCTCTTGGAAGCCTCTTGGGCCGTCTTAGCTCATGATGATGATGATGATGATGATGATGATGATGATGGTGATGGTGATGGCGATGGTGATGGTGATGGTGATGGTGATGGTGATGGTGATGATGCTGATGATGATGATGATGATGATGATGATGATGATAATGATAATGATGATGATGATGATGATGATGATGATGATGATGATGATGTTGATGGCATTGATGGCGATGATGTTGATGATGCTGATGACGTTGATTGTGAGATTGATTGTGATATCGTTATTGACAGGTCAATTGAGGACAATTGCACTCCTAATGCATGGTTGGTGGGTGGCTGGTCTCATTGTGTATCCACCTTGCCCCATCATATATTCTTGTATCCTGCTCCCTGCGCTCCTATGCCAGATTGTTGTTCGATGCAGCCACGCGGATCGAACTCGATGCTCTTTGCTTTTTCCCATTTCACCTTAACGTACCTCCCATTCTTCTCTTACGTCGTTTGCCTGCGCGGCTTGTTTCCCTCACGATCGATGGCATTGTTTCCGCCAGAGGCCACTGCAATGTCTTGGACAATGGTTTCGGACGTTGTCCAATATGTACATCTGTCTGGCAGTGTGTTTCGTGTTGTCGAGGCGCAGCTGGGGGATTTCCAGAATCACATCCCGCTGATGTCGATAATCCCCGCTCCGATGCTGCACGTAGCAATCATGACCACACAGATTGACAATAACCTTGGACAGGGAGAGTCGTCCTTACGTGGCCTCACCCCCTTGGAAGCAAGCCAGGTGGGCCTCATCTGGCGCATTTGCAAACGCATTTCGTGGACAGCCGGCGGACAGAGATGGGACGACTTCGTGGACATGGATCCGTTCCAAGCGCCTGCGGCGCGTCCGGCTGCGGCCGAGTCTGGGGCAGCGCCGGCGGCGGCCCCGGCGACCAGGGACAAGGTCGTCAAGTTGTCCGCTGTCCTCGACCAGGGCGACGATGGCGAGGTGCGGGTCGCCGATGCGTCTACGCACGCCCAGTGGCACGCCAACTACCAGCAGCAGGTCCTCGCCGCTCCGGCGGAGGACGCGGAGCCTTCGGTGGAGCAGCTCACGGCCTTGGACCACAGGGTGAACGGCCGCGGCTGCTCGCCGTATGCTGACTTCGCGCTGTGGGGGCCGTTCGCCCGCAAGGGCGTGCGGGCCGCGAAGTTCCGCGCCTGGTACCCGACCGGCGACGGCACCTTCACGGCCAAGGAGCTCCCCGGCCCGGGGAACCTGCAGCACTGGGAAGCGGCATGGAAGGTGTTCGCCACTGCTTGCATCATGCTCATGGCTGTGGCCCGTTCTGCGCTCGAGCACTACGCGGAGAAGATCCGCAAGCTCGTGCACCTATGGCCGGAATGTTGGCATCTCATTGCCACGGCGGACGACCAGATGCGCGCAGAGCACATGGTCCGCCTGAAGCGCCGCTACGAGGCCAAACTGGCGGCCGGCGAGACGCCCGCTCCAGACTGGAACAGCGCAGCGCCCTGGTCCACTGTGTACCGCCTCGCGGCCGACGACGAGGCATTCTGGGATGCTCACGTGCGGCACCCGGCGGCTGCGTGGGTGGCGCGCGGCGGTCGCGGCGTGCTGCTCGCGCCTGAGGAGGCGGTGGCCTTGGCCCACCTGCCCGGTGGCCTCGCGGCCATCACGCCACCGACAGAGCAGCGCCCCCCCGCGACGGGCAAGCGGCGCAAGACCGGCCCGCAGCAGCAGCAGCAGCAGCGCCCCCAGCAGGCGTCGGGAAACGGGGGCCCCCCGTCGACTGCCCACGGCAGCTCGGCGGGGGGGCCGCGCAAGCAGACGAACGACTCGCAGAAGGCCCAGGGGCCCGAGGTGTGCAAGAACTGGAACCAGGGCAACCCGGCGAACGAGTGCGGCAAGCTGGGCGCGCCCTCGACTTGCCCGAAGGGCCGGTTGCACAAGTGCGCCAAGTGCGGCGATGCCTCGCACAAGGCGCCGGACTGCCGGCGCCGCTGACCCCGGCTCCTGGGTCGCCGGGCGCTGTCGCTAAGGCCCCCGACAGCGCCCTGATCCGTGTGGGCCAGTGGGGCAACGCCTTGGTCAGGCGCCCCACCAGCGCCGGCGCGGCAGCCGGGCAGCCGGCCGCGCAGCCAGCCCTCGCGGAGGTCGCGCGCCCCGCACCGACGGCCGCGGCCCCGGCCTCCCGGCAGGAGCGCCGAGAGCAGGAGAACCATCTCTGCGTTGGTGGCCTGCGCTCAACGGCGGCCTCCGTGGCGCGCCTGCCGCGCCTCTGCGCCCTCGGCAAGGAGGTGGCCGCCCTGTACGACGACTGGGTTTCGGAATACCCGGAGGCGGCCGCAGTGGTGCAGCGCTTCGGTGACAAGAGTTACACCGGCCCAGGCAGTGACCTCGTCGAAGTCTGGAGATCCCGGCTGCGCGAGCATCTCGGCGCCCCGCCAGAGGGCCAGACGGCTCACGAGTGGGGGCGGCCCTCGCCGCTGCAAGCGGAGCTGCTGCACGCGTGGCTGCAGGCCGGCGGGGACCCCGAGATCTGCCTCCGGGATTGGTGCCAGGTGGGCGCGCCGCTGGGCGTGGAGGTGCCCATCCCCACCTGCGGCATATTCCCCGCCGTGCCCGCGGCGGACGGCGCTGGCACCGCCGGTAGATTGGATTTAGCCCTGGCGCAAGGCGTGTTCAATTACCAGTCGATCTCCGACGACCCCGAGGGCTCGGCGGCGGAGGTGCACCGCTATCTGGAACAGGACTTCGCAGTGTCGCTTCCTGGGCCCGTTGCCCAGCAGAGGTTTCCCGGTGGCTCCATATCCCGAATGGCGCTCATCACCAAGAAGAAACCAGACGGGGGCGTCGAGCGGCGCATCATTGTTGACCTCAAGCGGAGCAGGCCGACGCCGGTCAACAGCCGCGCCCGGGTCCCAGAACGACCGGTGCTCCCGCGGATGCGCGACCTCATCCGGGACACCCTGGCGCTGGTCCACGGCGCGGCGCCCCCTGGCAGTGCCGACCCGGCGGTGGATTTAGAATTCGCCATCGCCGATTTTTCGGACGCCTACATGCATCTGCGGACGCACCCAGATGAGCTGCGCCACTGCTTGTCGCCGGATGTGGTGCCGGGCCGCCTGCTGCTGTGGATCACGCTCTGCTTCGGCCTCTCTGGCGCCCCGCTCATCTGGTGCCGCGTCGCGGCCGCGCTGGCGAGGCTCGTGCAATCTTGCGTGGACCACCGCCAAGCCAGAATGCAGCTGTACCTGGACGACCCCATGTGGGCACTTTGGGGCACGAAAGCGCAGCGCGACAGGCAGCTCGGCCTCGCACTGTGGGTGCTCATCGGCATGGGTGTCCGCATCGCATGGCACAAGGCAGTCCGGGGGAGCGCAGTCGTGTGGATCGGGGCCTCCATAGTGGCAGACGTCGCCGCCCGGGAGATCACCGTGTCCATCCCGGCCAGCATGGTCGCGGAGCTTCTGGCCTCCCTCGAGCTCCTGGCCTCTGGGGCAATGGTCAGCCTCAGGGAGCTCAAGCGGTGCACAGGTAAACACTCCTGGGTTGCAGGCCTGCTCCCCCGCATCCGCTGGGCCGTGTCCATCATGTACGCGGTCGCTGCCTCCGCAGAGGGGGACATCCGCTCCGGCGCCGAGGAGCGCAGACGTCTTCGCAGAGAGGACCCGCGCCCCAAGCACGGTCTGGTGGCGGCCAAGCGGATCGCCTTGCCTGTCCGGTGGCTCACGGCGCTCTGGTGCGACATGCAAGGGCCAGTGACCCGGCGCATATCTTGGGCGCGCTCCCCGCCAGCCACCGTCGTCATAGTGGACGCTTCCCCCTGGGGCTTGGGGCTGGTCTTGGCCCACCTCGCATCCGGCAGGGTCTTGGAGTACGCCCACAGCGACGTGCTGGATGACGACGAGAGGCTCCTTCTTGTCCACCGGGGCTCATCCAGCTCGCAGCAGGCCTTGGAGGCGCTCGCTCTCCTCGTCGCCCTGAAACTGTGGGGTCGCTTCATGCGGGCTTCCTCGACCACAGTGGACCTGCGCGGCGACAACTCCGCTGCCCTTGCCCTCGCAGGGAAGCTGTCCAGCTCATCCCCTGTGATGAATTTTATCGGGGCCGAACTGGCGCTCGAATTGGAGAGCCTGGACGTCCGGGATGTACAGCCCACGCACATTCCAGGTCATTGGAACGTCGCGGCCGATTGGGTGTCCAGGCGTTCTGCTCCCCGGAGCGCCGCAACAGTGCCCGCGGAACTGGTCGGCGCGAAGGCCCGGCCAGTGCCCGCCCGGCCTCGCTCATACTACCAACTGCCCCCCCCGGGGGCCCAGCCGGAGCTCTGGGCAGGAACATCGGGCGCCAGCGCATGGGCAACAGTTGCCGCCAGTGTCTGAACGGCTCGTCGCATACTTCGCAGAGGGGTGAGTTTTCTGATGTTTTTTTTTTTTTTTTTTTTTGCCATGTTCCACCGCGCCTCCCCGAGGCACGCCCCGGCCCCCCGGGCCGGGGGCGCAGGCTTATGTCATGTTACTGTCACGTGTGCGATCGGGAAAAATGTGGGCGGCCCCCTCACAGAGCGAGCTGGCGCCGACGGCTGGGGAGAATCTCCCACGGCACGGGGCGCGAAGATATCCCCCCTCCTCCGCCCTGTCCTCCTCCTTTCCCTTTTTCCTCGTTCCCCCCCGTCTCTCCCCTCCTCCGCCTTGCCCTGTCCTTCTGCCCCCCTTGATAGTGAAGCGCGAAGGTTTTCGCGCGCCAGGGTCGTGGCGCTCTTGCCCAGGATCCCCTCTGGGCCTCTGCCCCAACCAGTGTTGGCCTTCGGCCAGCCTTCGGCGCGCGCCCCCGGCACAGCGCTTCGGCTACCAGGGCAGATCGATTTCACCTCTTCTCCCTCTCCTCCCCCTTTCCTTTCCCTCCCTCTCCCTCCCTTCCTCTTTCTTCGTTCCACTTCCTCGTCGCCCTCCTCCGGGACTCGCCTTCGGCCGGCCGCTCCGGCGGTGGGACCCGCGTCGCGAAGATTTGGCCGCGTGCGAAGTTAATCGTCTTCGTCGCTCGTCCCTTGGATCGAGTCCTCGGCGAGGCGCAGCGGGCGGCCGTGGCCTCACTCGTGAGGCCTCCTTCTGGTCTTCATGAGGCGTACGTCGCCGTTGGGTCCCTGTGCCGCCCGAGCCATGCGTTCAGTAAGCTCTCGGCGAGGCGCATGGGTCTCCTGGCTCGGGTTCTGCTTCAGGGCCGAATGGCACGCTACGAGTGCCTTGTGTCTCTGATTGGACTCTCGGCGAGGCGCACGCTTCCGTGGTGCCTGGCAGCTGTCTCTGTTAGCTCTCGGCGAGGCGCATGGGGCTCCGGGCTCAGACACTGCGTCGGAGCCGAATGGCACGCCGAGTGCCATGCTTACGTCTTTGTTTGAACTCTCGGCGAGGCGCACGCTTGCCTTGATCAAAGGTGCCGGCCGAATGGCACGCCAGCGAATCCCAATCGTTGCTGTTTCAGCTCTCGGCGAAGCGCATGCTTGTATGGAGCCAGGTTGCCGTCGCAGCCGGAGCGGCACGTGAATGAGACAATTCTCATCTAATTGATCCTCCGTTGTAGTTTCGGCTCGATTCGCCATGAGCGATCGTCGCAGCTCTGGGGACGCGCCCCCCAGAGGCCCGCCCAAACGCCCTCGGTACGCCTCACGCTCGGGCACGCCGCCCGCGCCGATTCCGGCACGGTGGAGCAATGTGCGGGCGGGCGTGCCAGCCACGAGTGTGGTCACCCACGCTCCTGTGATCCCATGTCTGGCTCCGGGCGCGTCCGCGAGCGGCTCACTGCCGAGATTCGTGCCGCTGGCGCAGCCGCGCGGGAGATCACCACACTGCATCCTTTCCCAAGGAGCCGGTCAGTTGGTGCAGCACCCCAGCCAGGAGGGCAACGTTGACATTGGAGCTAGTGGCGTCGATCTTCAAAAACGTGACTTCCCTAGGCCTCCACTTCCAGATGCTGGTCACACCAGGGGCTCCATCAACGCAGCTTTGTCCATAGCGGGCGACCCGGTGCGCCTCGCGAGTGCTCTGGGTGCCCTCAGACAAGATTTCTATGCGAATTCTTCCCGCGAGGCAGTCTCCCGCAAGCGGGCTGACGTGTGCAGATTGGCCGAGCAGGCGGCGTCGTCCATTCCGGACGTATCTGCGCCTTTCCCTCTGGAGGTCGCCGTCGTGCATGCGGTTGCTGCGGCTCTCAAGGGTGCTCGGTTCAAGTCTGCGGAACAATACCTCAACGAGCTGCGGCTCGAGCACATCGAACGCGGCGCACCTGCATCGCAGCAGCTCGCTCGGGCATTCGACCAGTGCAAGCGGTCAGTCCGACGAGGCATTGGCCCGAAGTCCAAGGCCGCTGAGTTGCGGGAAGACGGGCTTCGGCCGACTGATGTCTTGGAGTCGTTGCAAGGCATTTCTGGTCATGACTTGGCCTCGCCGTGGCGCGCCTGGGTGGTAGCCACGCGCTTCCTGCTCAGGGAGATCGAACTGGCGGCAGCAAGGCTTGCGCACGTCGACTTTCCCTCGGCCGGGAGCGTGCGAATGCGCCTTCCCGTGTCGAAGACCGACACCTGGGGGGCTGGCGCGGCTGTCACACTGAAATGCACTTGTTTGCTGGGCCCCTTCGACAAGGTTTCGTGCCCCGTGCACATTTTGGTGGAGCACCTTGAGGCGCGACGTCGCGTCACTGGCACTCGCGCCCAGGACGCGCGCGAGCTGGAAGAGCCGTTTTTCCCAGACGTCGCCGGCGGCACGGTGTCCAAGGCCGCCGTCATCCAGGGTTGGCAACGCCTCGCGGTCGACGGGCACCCTGTGCTAGGAGGCCATTCTGCGAGACGGTCTGGCGCCAAACGTTACGCGCGATCCCTATGGCCGCTCTCAAGCATCCAGACGGTCGGACGCTGGGCTTCCTGCACGGTGTTGGAATACGTTGAAGAGGCGCTGACTGATTTGCCGCTCGACGGCCAGGGCCGCACCGCGAGCTCCTCTTCAGAGCCGCCCCCAGAGGCACAGCTCGAGCCACTTGCACGGCGCGTCGCCAACCTGGAGGCCTCGATGCAATCGCATGCAGAGGCACGGGGTCGACCGACCTCGCGGCTGCCGGAGGTCAAGATCTCCGCGCCTCCGGCAGGTTGGTCCCGATGGGTCCGGTCAGAGTCCTCCGGCACCATCCACGCCGTCGCGAGCCCGCCGGACACGCCGTTGCCGTCGTGGCGCACCTGCTGCGGCTGGCGTTTCGGCTCGCCCGCGAGCCTTTCGACCTTCCTCAGCGAAGCGCCCGCGCCCGACGGAGCCAACCTCTGTCGAAAGTGCCCGTCGCCCTATCAATTTGCTCTCTCACTCGCCGCGGCTTCGCCAGGTGGTGGAGATTGCGTCGCCTGAAGACTGAGGGCCGCCGCCGCTGGCGCGCTCCTGCTACTCGCCTCCATGAGGCTGATGGTTCACGCCCCACGGGCCGGGATCATCTTCGGGTCTTCCCATCGCCTCCACGAGGCTGGCGGCCCACGCCCCAAGGGCCGGGGCCGCCTCTCGGGTTGCACCTTCGCCTCCACGAGGCTGGTGGTCCACGCCCCACGGGCCGGGACCACCTTGGTCTTCCCTTCGCCTCCACGAGGCTGGCGGCCCACGCCCCACGGGCCGGGGCCGCCTCCTGGGTTGCACCTTCGCCTCCACGAGGCTGGCGGTCCACGCCCCACGGGCTGGGCCCGCCTCCCGGGTCCCCCCTTCGCGCCTCCACGAGGCTGATGGCCACGCCCCACGGGCTGGATTCATCTGCGGGGCTTCCCCCTTCGCCTCCACGAGGCCGGCGGTTGGGCCCCACGGGCCCTCGTCGTCCTGCGCGGTGCAGTCGTTTCACTCAGGCACAACGGACTTGCCGAGCACGCAGGACGTGGCGCACTGATGTACAAGAAAAGTGCCCGCCTATCTCCTCAAGGGTGGCAGGGTGGGATTGCAGGAAGGGAAGTGCGTGTCCGTTATTGACAGGTCAATTGAGGGCAATTGCACTCCTAATGCATGGTTGGTGGGTGGCTGGTCTCATTGTGTATCCACCTTGCCCCATCATATATTCTTGTATCCTGCTCCCTGCGCTCCTATGCCAGATTGTTGTTCGATGCAGCCACGCGGATCGAACTCGATGCGCTTTGCTTTTTCCCGCCCGCCCTCCCGCAGTGGGAGTGGTGGTGGAGATTGCGTCGCCTGAAGACTGAGGGCCGCCGCCGCTGGCGCGCTCCTGCTACTCGCCTCCATGAGGCTGATGGTTCACGCCCCACGGGCCGGGATCTCTTCGGGTCTTCCCATCGCCTCCACGAGGCTGGCGGCCCACGCCCCAAGGGCCGGGGCCGCCTCTCGGGTTGCACCTTCGCCTCCACGAGGCTGGTGGTCCACGCCCCACGGGCCGGGATCATCTTGGTCTTCCCATCGCCTCCACGAGGCTGGCGGCCCACGCCCCACGGGCCGGGGCCGCCTCCTGGGTTGCACCTTCGCCTCCACGAGGCTGGCGGTCCACGCCCCACGGGCTGGGCCCGCCTCCCGGGCCCCCCCTTCGCGCCTCCACGAGGCTGATGGTCACGCCCCACGGGCTGGATTCATCTGCGGGGCTTCCCCCTTCGCCTCCACGAGGCCGGCGGTTGGGCCCCACGGGCCCTCATCGTCCTGCGCGGTGCAGTCGTTTCACTCAGGCACAACGGACTTGCCGAGCACGCAGGACGTGGCGCACTGATGTACAAGAAAAGTGCCCGCCTATCTCCTCAAGGGTGGCAGGGTGGGATTGCAGGAAGGGAAGTGCGTGTCCGATAGTGATTTTGATAGTGAGACCGAATGTGAGATCGATAGTGAGATCGATTGTGAGATCGATTGTGAGATCGATCGCCAGATTGATTGTGAGATCGATCGAATGAAATAGATCGAATGAGATCGATTGTGAGATCGATCGAGTGAGATCGATCCAGCGAGACCGATAGTGAGATCGATAGTGAGATCGATAGTGAGACCGATCGAGTGGGACGTTGGTTCCCCCCCCCCCGAACCTCCTTATCACCCGAAGGGTGGTCGTATAGATCTACCATGGTGGTCCCGAGCTGGTACCATGTTTTCACGTGTCCAGGCCCCGCAGGTGGGTATACAACATGGTCCCGCGCTGGGGCCACGTGTTTTCACTAGTACAGGCCACCCAGGTGGGTATCACAAACATGTTGGTCCCGAGCTGGAACCACGTATTTCACCTGTCGAGGCCACCCAGGGGGTGTCTAAGATGGTGGTCCCGCGCTGGAACCACGTGTTTTCACGTGCCCAGGTCGCCCAGAGGGTGTATCTAACATGGTGGCCCCGCGCTGGGCACGCGTGTTTCCACGTGTCCACGCCACCCACTGGGGTACGTATCTAACATGGTGGCCCTGAGCTGGAACCACGTGTTTTTACGTGTCCCCTGGCACGTCCATTGACACGTTCCGTGGCGCGTCCCCGTGGCACGTCCCGCGGTGCGTCCCCATGGCACGAGCTCGAGCTTAAGATCCGTATCAGTTCAGTCAGGACTCGGATGCAAAGGAGGACTCGATCCGCAACATTTTTTAACACAATCGCGGCATGGCACATCGCAACTCAGCACGGCGCAGCACAGCACAGCCCTCGGCACGGTACATCAAGGCAATTTGGCACGTTCCGTGGCACGTTCTGTGGCGCGTCTCGTGGCGAGTCCCCCTGGCACGTCGCGCGGCGCGTCCCCTGGCACGTCCCGTGGCACGTCCATAGGCACGTTCCGTAGCGCGTCTCTTTGGCACGTCCTGCGGTGCGTCCCCATGGCATGTCCCCTGGCACGTCGCTTGGCGCGTCCCTTGGGACGTTCCGCGGCGCGTCCCCTTGGCATGTCCCTCTGTCGATCAGCTCTGGGGCAGCTACTATGTGCTCAGGCAGCTCGAGCTTAAGATCCATATCAGTTCAGTCAGGACTCGGATGCAAAGGAGGACTCGATCCACAACACTTTATAGCAGAATCGCGGCATGGCGCATCGCAACTCAGCACGGCGCAGCACAGCACAGCCCTCGGCACGGTACATCCAGATCGATACACTCAGCACTGCAACCTGGCACGTTCTTTGGCACGTTCCGTGGCGCGTCCCGTGCGTGGCGAGTCCCCTTGGCACGTCGCGCGGCGCGTCCCTTGGCACGTCCCGTGGCACGTCCATCGGCACGTCCCGCAGTGCGTCCCCATGGCACGCCCCGTGGCGCGTCCCCATGGCACGTCTCCTGGCACGTCGCCTGGCGCGTCCCTTGGTACGTTGCGCGGCGCGTCCTCCTGGCATGTCCCTTTGTCAATTGGCTCTGGGGCAGCTGCGCCCAGGCAGCTCGAGCTTAAGATCCAGATCAGTTCGGTCAGGACTCGGGTGCAAAGGAGGACTTGACCCACAACGCTATAGAGCACAATCGCGGCATGGCACATCGCAATTCAGCACGGCGCAGCACAGCACAGCCCTCGACACGGCTCATCAAGACCGATACATTCAGCATTGCATTTGCCCGTCGCCCAATCAGGTGTCTTTGAAGCGTTGCCATGCCTTACATTTCTATATTCCTTTCCGGGTTCGTGGGTCGATCATGTTTGTGCCTGCCGCAGGATGTGGCCCGGACTTTTAATCCGGGTGCGTCTGTTCCGTCCACGCCACCAAGATTGCAAGGTGGCTGGCAGGGTACGCCGCCCAAAGTGGATGAGACATTCGATGCGGGGGGGGCTGTGTCGGCCATGGTATGGGCGGCGCCCGGGAGGTCCTGCTCATCGAGCGGATCGCTCATGGCTTCCCTGGCTGGGTGCATTTGTGGGAGTTGCCCAGGGGCGGCGGCGCCGACCCGTTCGGCCGTCTGCGGTAAGCCTGTGGGATCGATTCGTGGGATATAGAAGCAATCGCTCCAGGTGGGCGCTTGCCCTCCGCAGCTTAGCGCGCGCCTCATCTGGGATTGCTTTGTACGCCCATGGGGTAAGCACGTCCTGGCGCAGCGTGGACGGCTGGGTGATGTCAGCGTAGATGAGAGCGTGGTCTGACAACGCGGTCTTTCACGCTTCTCGTATGCTGTAGAACCCAATTGCAGCTGTGGCAAAACGGTAAACACAGGCGTCAAAAAACCCCGATTCTCGGTCCTCGATCGATTTTCTACGACGGTGACCGCGGTTGCGACGACGGCGATGGCGAAGAGAACGGTTGCGACGACGACGAAGAAGACGAGGGCTCGAAGCTGACGACGACGGCGACCGCGACGGTGGAGACGGCGTCGGCGAAGACGGCGGCGGCGACGGCGACGACGAAGCCGGCGACTGCGGCGACGGCGGCAACGGTGGCGAAGGACGTTGACGACGTCGGCGGCGCTTGGCCCCAGCGCCGGGCGGAACGTCGCGTGTGCCAGCCGCGCCGAGCAGGGGGCGGGTTAGGCCCGCCGGGCCTGGCGCGTTTTTCCTCCTCCTCTTCCTCCTCCTCCTGCTCCTCCTCCTCCTCCTCTCTCTCCTATTTGTCCTCCTCCTCCAACTCTTTCTCCTTCTCCTCCTCATCATCATTAGTTGTCATCATTATCAGCAGCATCATCAGCATCTGCATCTGCATCCGCATCAACATCATCACCACCATCACCATCATGATCATCATCATGAGCATCATCAGCATCATCGTCATCGTCATCGTCGTTCCGTTGCCATTTTGGTTAAAGGTTGGGGACAGGCCCCAGGTTGAGTGCGGCAGCCTCCCGCGAGGAGGCGTTCCTGAGGTCAGACTCAGGCGGTCACCTTTGCTTTCTGCTCGCCTCCCGTGTCGCTGCAGTCATGGCGACGGAGATGAGCGCTGTCCTTGAAGAGATGAAGAAGATGACTTCGGCATTCCAGATTCTCACTGGGCAGGTGACTGAGATGACGGAAGATCTTCCAACGTTCAAAGATGGCATCACGAAAGAGGTGAAAGAGACCATCGGTAATCGTACTGCGGCTCTCGAGGAGCGGATAACGACGCTGGAGAATAAGCAGACCACTGCAGGTTCTTCAGTTGGTGCTCCCTCGACGGTATCACAGGGTGGTCTCAAGCGGCGTCTTTTCTCAACTGGGCAGGGCTCTGCTGTGGGCACTACGACGGCGGATTCTGATGATTCTAAGGTATGGATGAATGGATGGCCTCGCCCCGTGCTTCGTGCTCAGCGCGAGAAATGACATAACGAGATGGCTGCACAAGTTCCTGTGGAGAATCGTACGCGGACGGAGACTTACTTCGCTGCCGTCAGTCAGAGCTACATGTTGAAGTTCGAGAATGCGGAAGCTGCTAGAGAGTTTCGTACCATGTTCAATCGCAGCAGTGCCACGTGGTCTGATCCGCGTTCGCAGGTGAAGTTCCACACTAAAGCCCGCCAATATTT